CTCATTGGGCTCATTAGCTGCTGTGTTTGATGCTCAGCTTTATTGTACGTAATGATGATCTTTCTGAAATGAGGTGTTTTCTTTGTAGAGGGCATTTTAAACATCAAGTTACCCTATTAAACAAGTATACTGTTTCTCCACTCATTGGGAAATCATGAAGAAATATTAGCTCTAAAGGAGCAAAATTTGGAATTACAGTGGTACCTCTGGTTACGAACTTAATTCGTTCCGGAGGTCTGCTCTTAAGCTGAAACCGTTCTTATCCTGAGGCACGCTTTTGCTAATGGGGTCTCCGGCGCGCGATTTCTGTTCACATCCTGGGGCAAAGTTTGCAACCAGGAGCAGCTACTTCTGAGTTAGTAGAGCTCGTAACCTGAAGTGTTCATAACCAGAAGTGTTCATAACCAGAGGTACCACTGTACTGGGTTTTTGAAGGTACTATTCCATTTTATAATCTGTGGGTGGAAAAAGTATAGGTCTATGGTAGTGGATATGTTTTCCCATTCTAGAAAGTAAAAAAAAAAAAGTTAGATTTTTATGTTAACATGGCCAGGCATCAATCACACCAATACAGTGGATTGCATCAGACCGCTATAGGCAAACACTCTTGCTGGCTGGGAAAGTGGACCAGGTAGGGGCCAAGTGTTGCAAATGAGCCCCTCCCTGCGAAGTTCTCTGTAGGTCTACTCCCACCCCAGGCTCTGCTCCGCTTACTGTCTGATAGATCTGAAAGGAGGTGAAAAAGGGAAGTAAGCAAATGCAAGTACCAGTTCTTGCATGATCATTATAATGACCAAATGGAATGTCACTGAAGGTGTCAGTTCTGGGAAAGTAAGAACCAAACTGCAATTGGCCTCAGCTTGGGTCCTGGTGGGGCATCACAATAGGTCTCCTCTCCTCATGGATGCCTTAGATGTGGAGCAATGAGTCTTAGTGACCAAATGGAGACAGTTTGGTGCTACCACCCCACACCTTTTCTCACACCAGTTGCATCATTTTTGCTTTCTTAATACTTCACAAGTTCACCATTTGGTCAGGCATACCTCTTAAAACAAACCCAAAGAAAAAAATAGGTAATGGTGGTTCAATTCTAAGCTCATATGCAGCCTGCCCTTTGAAGATAATTGCTTGATTGCTGTCAGAAGAATCTACATACCTCATTGTTGACAATTTCAATCACCATTTGACCTCTTAAGGAACTTCTAAAAAATCAAAAATCTATCTCTTAATGCAAATTACATCCTCCCCAGTTGAATTGGTTCAGATTTTTGTGTGTGTGTTTTGTGGGGTTGGGGAAGTTGTTGGTGCATTTTGTAGAATATTTCTCAAAAAGAAACTGCCAGTAGGAAGAAGCACCACTGACTTCAAAATGTTTAAAAATTAAGTGCCGGAGTCTGCAAATGTTAATGATTAAACTCCATGCCAGAGAGTTTCCAGTGACTTTTTTTTCCAGACCGTTTAAATATTTTACCAATTAAGAAGCTATGGAGAGATTTTATCTGGTCCTCTTGAGAGAGGGAGCTGTTAAAATGCGGTCATTTGTAGGTTACATATGCTGCGAAGAGCCTGATTTCTTTATTCTCATAACAGGACCTTTTCTGATTCCTACTATACTTAAAGACATCTGATTTTATTCCTAAATTCTGCTAAAATTATTTTTCTTTGTACTTATTAGCACACTGTATCATTGAATATTTGAAAATGTATAGTCTGCTCTTAAACCCTGTTTGGTTAAAATTTGCTCTTTTATATCTGTTTGAATTCATCAGGAGTACTTCGTATAAGTTTTGAATTTTAAATGCCTACGAAGTTTCACTCAAGATGCAATGTGATGCTATGTCACCCCTGTTTCGCTAATGTCATCTTGATTAAACATTTCTTTTTATGTCAGGTACAGTTTTAAGGAAACTAAAATTATTATGTGGTTTTATTGTTCTTTAATTTGGTAAAGAGTGCATATAAATACCTGTATGATCATGGGTGCTGCTTCTATTCTCTGATATTAGAACTGCACATGCTTGCTGATTTCATCCCCTTAATTTCTTCTCTAATGCTCTGCTCTAATATATTGGCGTATTCCAGCCAACCTAAGAGGATTAATAATAATAATAATAATAATAATAATAATAATAATAATAATAATAATAATTTATTATTTATACCCCGCCCATCTGGCTGGGCTTCCGCAGCCACTCTGGGCGGCTTCCAAGAAATATAAAATACTGTAATACCTCAAACATTAAAAGCCTCCCTAAACAGGGCTGCCTTCAGATGTCTTCTAAAAGTCTGGTAGTTGTTGTTCTCTTTGACATCTGGTGGGAGGGTGTTCCACAGGGAGGGCGCCGCCACCATATCATGAATCCATCTTTTTCTTTTGCATATTTTATTCTCTGGTATCTTTCCTTACTCTCAGCTGATCCTGCCTGAGTTTATCTCCAGTATTTGTTCTCTTTAAGGTTAGAGACAGATAATTGAATAGGTTTGTTTGAAGTAGAAAATGCAACATGGATGATTCATGAAACTGATTTGTTAAAAAAAAAAAGTTACATGGGGGGAAAATACGAGAGAGAGACTTTGCACATACAGAAAATCTTTGATTTATTTTTTAAAAATGTATTTTTATTGATATTGATTGATTAATTGGATTGCAGGATGGCAGTAGAGAGAGAGAAAAGCTTCAAGCTTCAAGCTATCTATCCTATTCAAGCAGTTGCTTGGGATACCTAGAAATTTGAGGCAGTTGAAACATTTTGTTACAGATATGGCTTCCTTTATATTCATGGCTTACGACTTGATCAGTATGTTGGTTGCAAGTTCCAAGTAAATTGCTTTTTATTGTTGTGGTAGCATTTTTCATCCACCTTTACCTAAGAGACCAAGCTTTCTTTTCCACTTCCATCTAATACTTTCAGTTAACTAGAGGCTGTATCTCTTTGTTAACATTTTAGGAGGGATAAAAAGCTAGCAGTCAGGGCAGAAGGTGGAAGATTGTGAAACCAGGTCTGTCCTGCGGAATTTGCCTTTCCTTTGATCCACCAAGTCTGGATTTGTCAACTTTCAGTTCCAGGATTCTTAGAGAAGTGTACGTGAAGGTCAAGAGGAAATCTTATGCAGTGGTGTGCGGCTGAGCAAAAGTATCTGACCTTCTGGCCACCTGGCTGGGCTATAACTGGAAATCTTATTGTACAATTGAATGGGGGCAGGAAGTCCAGAGTTTTGGATGGGAGAAAGTTAGCCAAACAAGATAGGAAAGTCTGCCCAGTGGGTCTTAAGTCTGGCATGCTCCTGCATTGTCTCAAGGCTTAGGTTAGCACATTTTCAACATATTTCTGTTCAACTGTTTAAAGTGGAGAGGTGAAAACTGCAGGATAGATTCCACCCCCCATACACTGAAGTGCAAAGGCAGTAAATGTCATTTTAGGCTTTCTAGATTGTTAAATCACTTTTTACAAAATATTATTTATTACACTAATATTTTGCTGTTACATGGGGCTCTTAGTGGTCTCCCATGAAATCAACCAGGTTCACACCTGCTTAGCTTCAGCTAAACTCCAACTACCAGATGTTCCTAGACCACTCACTGGATCCCAGTTGCTTTAAAAACTGTGAAAGTGCTCTCTACTGGATCATACCAAGAATAAAAACTTGTCCACTTTTTTGTTTCTAGCCGTGGCTAGCCAGATGCTTCTAGGAAACCCACAAGCCAGGGTGTTATGATTACAAGCTGACCCTGTTGTTTAACCTCACACCCAGCAAGTGGTACTCAAGAGGCATAGTGAATCTGAACATTCATGTGCTGTATAGCCATCAAAACTAATAGGAATTGATAGCCCTGTATTCTTTGTCTAATAGCTTTTTGAAGTCATCTAAGCTTCTGGCCATTGCCATATTTTGTGGAATTAATTCCTAATGTTAATTCTATATTGTGTGGAGAAGTTTCCTTGCTTCCAGTTGGTGGCTGGGATGAAACAAACCAATCCAGGGGTTCCAGTTTATTTCATCTTAACAAACGATAACCAGTAAGACTAAAAGAAACTTTGACTGCAGATTGTGGTTTGTTGGGAGCAAAGCAAACCATGATTCCTGTCCCTAACATAATGCTAAGCCTGGGATCATGGCTGGTTCCCTTCCAGTGGTGGCTGAGACCACATCTAGTTCCAGGTCTTTCCTTATTTCCTTTATATCAACTTCCCCCAGTTGTGGGTACGTATATACAGTAGTTAATATACGGTAGTCTTTGCCATTAACTATTTAAACCATGCTGTGTTCACACACCCGTATAAGTTTATACTACAAGTATTGTATGGTGAAATACTTAAAAAGATATGAGTTAAGAAAATGCATGGATATATTATTATTATTATTAATTATACCTTTATTGTCAATGTACAACCTGTGTACAGTGAAATTAACCGAGTCTCCCCCCCCCCCCACATACACTCAACATCATTGCACTCTGTGTGCTTGTTGCACAACACACCAACCCCGAAAGTCAGTTGCACTATATTATTTTCCGTTCAGCAGCCTAAAAGCCCACAAATAGAAACTGTTTTTAGCCTGTTGGTACGACTGATTATACTTCTATATCTCCTGCCCGAGGGTAGAAGATTAAAGAGGTGCTGGCCGGGGTGTGAATCGTCCCTGATAATTTTTCTCGCTCTCCTAAGGCAACGATCCCTTGCGATGTCATCTAGCAGGCTCAGGGGACAGCCCATGATATCATGTGCTGTGCTGTGTTCACCATCCTCTGTAAAGACTTTTTGTCCGTGGCTGTCAAGCCAACGTACCACACTGTGATACAATATGAGAGGACACTTTCTATTGTGGACCAGTAGAAGGAGGTCATCAATTGTTGTTTAACATTGTTCTTTCACGAGGTGGGAAGGGGAGGAAGAGTTGGGCAGCTGCTTGCAATGGAGGCGTTGTCAGCAGCCAAGTCCTCTGCCTCGCTGGGCAGCCCCCAGCCCCCCCTGAACTGCCCCAACCCGCCCATGATGACCATGGTGATGGAGGCAGTGAAGACCCTGGATGAGCACAAGGGGGTCTCTGTCGTGGCCATAAAGCGCTACATCCTGAGCAGCTACCCCGGGGTGGACCCCATCCGCTTGAAGTACGGCCTGAAGATGGCCCTGGCCAGAGGCCTGAAAAGGAGCTGCCTCATCCGGCCACAAAACTCTTCCGCACTGGGGGCCACAGGGAGATTCAAGCTGGGCACAGAGGAAGCCAAGGGAAAGAAGAGCCAGGAAAAGCATTCGGATTCGGATGGAAAAACAGCGCCCACACCGAAGAAAGCGGCCAAGAATCCCAAGGCAAAGGTTCCTGTGGAGAAACCGAGGCTGGGAGCAATCGCAGAAGGGGAGGAGGAGGAGGCGGCTTCCAGCAAGAGTACCAAGGCGAAAGCTAGCAAGCATCCAGGCAAACCTCCAGCGACGCCCAAGTCAAAGTAGTCCCCTCCTGGGGGGGGGAGAGAGAAAGAGGCCCAAATCCTGAAGAAACAGAGCTCTTCCAAGGCCTTCCTAGCAAACACACCTGGTGCCTGCCAGAAAGCTGTGTCTAAGGAAAGCAAGACGGGGGGCCGAGGACGAGGGGGCCCCCAGGCAGAGGCCAAGGCACCTGCATCGGCCAAGAAAACCAAAGAGGCAAAGGGAGAGAAAGCCAAGGGGCTCAAAGAGGCACAAACAGAGTTCAGGGGCGCATCTTCAGCCAGGCAAAGACCCCCAAGGAGGGAGCGGCCTGGAGAGCTACGAGAATCTAAGTAGCAAGGTGGACAGCCGGCTATCTCAACACCCAAGCTGACCTCAATTCCACAAAATACTAAACACTGTGCGAGGAAAGAAACTGGTCTATGGCACACGGGAAGAAAAGAATGATGAAGGGCTTGGCAAAAAGAGAAAGGAAACCAAGGAGGAGAGAGATGATCAAGCCTACGTTACGGACATGGGTTTTCACTTCCCTAAAAATACAATCTTTACAAATCTCGATTTGCTTTTGGCAACAATATCAGGATTTGGCAAATAAGAACAAGGAATTGGAGAAAGAATTCAAAAGCACAAAACACCTGTGTGGCAGGCATTCTTTTTTTCTTCTCAAAAACCACCTCTGAAATAAATGCATTTTAAGCTTGTTGGGGGGGGGGCATTGTTCTTTCACAAGACCCTGAGCAAATGGAGTCTCTGTTGGGCCTTCCTAACCACCTGAGTTATATTGTTTTTCCAAGTGAGGTCTTCACTAAGGTAAACTCCCAGGAATTTAAAGGAAGAGACTGTCTCCACACAACACCCCCCCAATATACAACGGGGCTAGTTCCCCTCTTCCTCCGAAAGTCCAACACCATCTCATTTGTCTTGCTAATATTTAGGTGCAAGTTATTCTCTAGGCGCCATGTAGAAACTTTTTGAACCTCCCCGCTGTACGCTGATTCATCTCCACCTGTATTTAGACCCATTGTGGTAGTATCATCTGCAAACTTAATAATTGCAGTGGATGGATCAGATGAAATACAGTCATATGTATACAATGAGTACAGGACTCAGCACACATCTCTGTGGGGTGCCAGTTCTGAGCTTCAGGGAGGTAGATGTAACAGGCCCAATCCTCACTGTTTGTGTCCGATCTGTCAGAAAGACTTTAATCCAGTCACAGATGGTAGAAGAAAGGTCTAGTTCCATCAGCTTTTTGATAAGAATATTCAGAAGGATGGTATTAAAAGCCGAGCTATAATCAATAAACAACATTGTAACATAATTCCCCGCTCTCTCCAGATGACTCGCTGCAAGGTGAAAGGCTGTAGCTATGGCATCATCTGTTGACCTGTTTCTCCTCTAGGCAAACTGATGTTTATCATAATCCGGTGGAAAACATGTCCTAAGGTGTTGAAGGACCAATCTCTCGAAGCATTTCATCACTACAGATGTTAATGCAATAGGTCTGTAGTCATTTAGGCAGTTAGTTGCTGTTTTCTTTGGGACTGGGACAATGGTGGCTGCTTTCAAACATGGTGGAACACAAGCCGTTTGCAGAGAGATGTTAAAAATCCTTGTCAGGACCCCTGCTAGTTGATCGGTGCAGTTTTTTACCACTATCCCCAGCACCCCATCTGAACCAGCAGCTTTACTGGGATTCACCACCCTCAATGCAGCTTTCACTTGATGGTCATACAGAATAAGTGGCTGAGAGTTTGTAGGCTGGCAGGCAGGAGCTATGATACCTGATCTTTTACCTCATAGCGGGCAAAGATGATGTTTAGCTCCTCTGCCAAGAAATCATCAGCCTTAACCGTGTTCCTCGTATTGCCCTTGTAATTGGTTAGATGCTGCAGTCCCTGCCACACTTGTTTTGTGTTGTTATTGGCTAGGCAGTTCTCCACCTTAAAGCTTATATTGTTGTTTTGCCGCCTTAATGCCTTTCCTGAGCTTTGTTCTTGCCCCTCTGTATATATCTGTATTCCCTGCCTTGAAGGCAGTATCCTGAGCTTTCAGGAGTGGCCTTACTTCAGCAGTCATCCAGGGTTTGCAGTTCCCATAGACTCTAATGCACCTCTCCGTTGTTACATTATCAGTGCACACTTTAATATAAGAAAGTAAAGCATCTGTGTATCTCTGCAGATCTTGATGTTCAAACACGCTCCAATCAGTACTTTCAAAACAATCCTGGAGCTGACTGAAAGCTCCCTCTGGCCAGATTTTAACTGTTTTTATAACTGGCTGATGAGGACAGTGCCTTTAACATATGGCACATAGGAATCTGGTGAAATGTGCTGAAACAATTAACATGGTATCACCCAATGCCTACAATTGACCTTACACATGATTTCTTAAATTTCTTTGTAAATTATATATACATTTGGAATGAATGGGGAGGTGGGAGGGAGGAATAGGGTATTCCTTTGAGCAAGGCAGTTTATTTATGCATTTCAGTAATAAATACAAATAAAGGCTATGCAAAAAATATAAATAAAGACATGGATGTTGACAGCAGAATAAGTAAATAAAATTCAAACTGTACAGAAATATATGTATTTGCTTACTAAGTTAGTGAGGAAAATTTATCTTATTATTCTGATCTACTCTGTGTAACCTTGAGCTAGTCTCTTTGTCTACTTGTTCATTCCCAACTTTAAAATGTAAACAAAATATGGCTTGCATGCATTGTTGTCTCTGAAGGATTTGAGCAGTGTAAGTGGCATTGAGAATCCTGATGATAAAGATTGTAAAGCAATCTGAAGAATGTTGTTTAAGCTTTTTATTCCCCATAGAAGCTTCAGATCTGTAAAGAACATGGTTCTGTTTGTATATTTCAGGCAAATAATTACAGCTGCTGTCAGTAGCTCAAAAGAGTTTAGTAACAAGAAAGCAAAATTTGATCCACTTGTTCAGCATGGGAAATTTGCCTATGCTAAGCAAAAAAGAATAGTGACCCAACACAGCAAAATTACCATTGGCAATAGAGGGTTTGTGTGAACTATTTACTATCTGTGATGTGGCTGGTTTTGTTCTCCTGCTGTGAAAATGACAGATATAAGAGTTCCTTCTGAAAGGGCAAGGAGTGTGTGTTTACTATTGCCCAGTTTGTGCCTTTAGAATTGATTTAAACGAAGTAGCTCTAGTAATTAAAAAGACTATGCAAAATCTGTTGGGAGTCAGCTGAATTATGAAAACAATCATAGTGATGTCTTCTCAGAAGACTTGTAAGACTTAGGTTTATGAGAAAGATTGCAGAATAACTGTTTCATTCTTTTAATTTTTTGGGGGAAACTATGTGTCATTTCCAGAATGGTAAGATAAAGATATATATTGGAAGTCAATGAAGTTGGAGGATTATTCAAAACCAGCATTTGCCAACTTGATGCCCTCCAGGTGTTGATGAGCGCCACAATCCCATAGTCGCCTTTGACCGGACTTAACCATCCAGGGGTCCTTTACCTTTACCTAATAGCAGTAGCATCCCAAAATATTCATTCATCCATTCCTTTTTTTTAAAAAAATATTTTATTAAGGATTTTCTTGTTTTACAGAAGTGTAGTGCCTCGTTTTTTGTTTTTTTTTTCATGTAACATTTTTACAAATCCATTTCATTTGTTGAGGCATTAGGGGGAGAAGAAAAAAGAAAGAGAGAAGAAAAGGGGGGTGGAGAGAGGGAAGATGGATGGGGGTGGGGTCGGGTGGCGGTGTTTCTATTATGTTTAATGTGTGTAGAGTTTGGTGTCAGCGTTGTTTGTGTTGTTCACTTGTGTTCCTTTGGTGGTGAGAGAGGTTGGGGTTGGCCTAGGGTGTGATTGTTTGCTTGTGATTGGCTGTGGTGATCTTTGTTTTCGTGTGTGAGTGAGGTGGGTGGGTGTTTTGGATCAGGTTAGCCATATTGATTTGTATGCTGTTGGTGGATTATTGTCATTGTCCTGTTGGGCTGTGTGTGTGATAAAGGGGAGCCATACCGGGGTGAAGGTGTCTTCTTCTGTTTGTCCCCGTGTCAGTTTCAGTTTATTAGTTAATTTTTCTAGTAGGGCTGTTTCCCATACTATTTGGTACCATTGGTCCATGCTTACTCCTGACAGGTCTCTCCAGTGTCTGGTTATGGTATTTCTGGCTGCTGAGAGCAGGTGGGTTATGAGTTCTTTGTGGTGTAAATGGGCATTGTTGTCTTGGAAGATGTTTAGTAGGGCCAATTCTGGGATTCATCCATTCCTTTTATTTGTATGCTCCTGTTCCACAAAAAAGTCGTGTTCAAAGTGGATTACAACAAAGAAATAGGAGTGCATTTCAAGCAAAAACTACAATATCATAATAACCTGGCAAAACAAAAATATAACAGCATACACAAACCACATTTCAGTACTATAAATATAACAAGATTAGTTAAATGGCATGCAGGATCCAGTAGCAAAAATAACAAGGGAAATTCACAGTTTCACCTTAGTCCTAGAAACATCCTTCCCATGATGTTGCTTGCAGTCCTCCTGCAGCAGCTTCCTATAAGGCTGGAGGGCACCAGGTTGATGAATGCTGACCAATACCTTTTCATAAAAACTTAACATATGCCTCACACTCTTGCATATGAACTGAAACTTGTGATCCACAACTTGCAGAGGTTGCTTAAGCAAAATTCCAAGGGTAATGTCCTAGAAGGTTCACTTGGGAAAGGCATTTTAGGGAGGGATTTTGTTTTGCCCTGGATCGCCAGGAATAATGCTGTATATTATGCCCGTTTATTTTCTGTGGACATAAACGGCTTGGAGAATATGGTATTAGTTTGTTCTGAGGCTGGGTAATTACACTCTTTCCTCCTTTGGTTCCGCATTTCTGTTCTTCTTGTTTACTCTTGTTATGTGACACTTAATGCAGTCTAAAAGGAAATAGCCATGGTTAGTCAGGTGTATGGAAGGAGCCTCTGGCTCATGCACTTCCCTCTTGCATACTCAGAGTAATTAATAAGTAATTATTGATTTTGGGCA